AGGGCACTGGCGCTGGGCAGGGCGTGGGCAAGGCAGGGCGCTGGCGCAGGGCAGGGCGCTGGTGGAGGGCAGGGCGCTAGCGCGCGCAGGGCAGGGGCTAGCGCACGGGCTGCAGCAGTGCATGACGCGAGGGGCAGCAGGGCGCAACGCGCAGGCTGCAGCAGGGCACGACGCGCGGGGCAGCAGGGCGCGACGCACGGACTGCAGTAGGGTGCGACACGCGGGGCAGTAGGGCGCGACGCGCGGGCTGCAGTAGAGCGTGGCGCGCGGGGCAGCAGAGCGCATCGCGCGGGCTGCAGCAGGGCGCGACGCGCAGGGCAGCAGGGCGCTACGCGCGGGCTGCTGCAAAGCGCGACGCGCGGGGCAGCAGGGCACGACGCGCAGGGTAGCAGGGCGCGGGGCAGGGCAAGGCGTGCGCTAGGCAGCGCGACGCTGGGCGGGGCAGGGCGTGCGCGAGGCAGCGCGACGCGGGGCAGGTCAGAGCGTGCGCAGGGAAGCGCGACGCGGGGCAGAGCAGGGCGTGCGCGGGGCAGCGCGACGCAGGGCAGGGTGTACACGGGCAGTGTGACACAAGGCAGGGCAGGGCAGGGCGCGCGCTGACGGCACAGCCCAGTGCAGGGCGTGGGGTAACGCGGTAACTGCAGTCGGTCACTAGGTGAGGATGTCAGAGGTCTACTGGTGATCCCCGATTGATCCTAGGAAAGGGTTACAGGCACGTTGGCCTGGGGGGTTATGGGCGCACTCACCCGCCACACAAACAAGCCCTTTTATCGCAATGGTTAGTGGCTAGGATTCTGACATGGTATCAGAGCGAAGGTCTCGGGTTCGATTCCCGGTGTGTGGGCCTCGGGCATCCCAGTGCGGGGGGGTGTCAGAGGTCCACTGGTGATCCTCGATTGATCCTAGGAAAGGGTTACAGGCACGTTGGCCTGGGGGGTTATGGGCGCACTCACCTGCTACACAAACAAGCCATTTTATCCCAGTGATTAGTGGCTAGGATTTTGACAGAGGAAGCCATGCCGCTACATTATGATTCACGACCTGAGTCGAGGTGAGTGCGTGAGGGCAGATATATAAGTGGTGGGCCCGAAAAAAAAAACGGTCCTACGGACCTACTACTCTGAAACCATGTCAAGAACTAACGAGCAGGAAATGGGTTCACTAGCAAGGAATCAAAGTACAAGTACCAACCCCTAAAAGTGTTGTACTCTATACAGGATACCCCACTACAGCCTACAAACATATAAATCAGTTTTGACACGGTCGGCCCCCGAGGGCGATGTCCGTAATAGGACCCCGGTCTCGGATGGCGCAGAATGTGAATTTTCTCGGCGAGCGCGAGGATCTCGTTGAAATTCGATAGCCCGCGTAGCATAATTTCGTGCGAGATGTCCGGCTTCAGCCCTCCAACGTAACGGTCCACCCGCTCCGCCTCGTGCATGTAGCCGACTTGCTCGCATAGTGCGAAAAAACCGCTTGTATAGTCTTGGACCGACCCAACCTGTCGCAAAGTACATAGTTTCTGACGCGCCGATGTAGAAGCTGCGAACGACTAGAAGCGCGCCCAAAGCCCTGCGCACCACGCATTCCAAGTGCTGTACTGGGCGGTTTCGCAGAACGAACTCCAGGTGACGGCTGGACACGTGTGCTCCCCCTCTTGCGACGGCGGCTCGTAGGCGCGTGGCGACGTCACGATGACTCGCCACCGGTCCATGGCGGGGCCCCTTAGCAGCGAGACGACGTATTGCATCTTCGTTGCGTCCGACTCAACGTAATTCGCGTCGAAGAATGTTCATCGTGAAGACCCACGATTGAACAGTCAGACCTCCACGTTGGCTCGGATCGGAACAGGGTGGGAGCTGCGGCTTCAGTGGCATTGGTGCCATGATGTCGTTGTTGCCACTTGTTGCTGCGAAATCTACGTGCCGACGGGCTTCGCGAGGCCCCTGCGTGTTTGGTGCGGCCGTGTTCCTCTCCATGCCAGGCATCTATTGGGCAGCGCCATCACTAGCTGCCCCTGAGCGCTCTCCCACGCTGTCGTGTAGTGTCGGTTTGCCTGATGAGATGACAATCTTCTCTTCGGATTGCACCGGTGCATTTGCAGGTACGTGTGTTGGTGCTGGTACGTTCACCGTTGATAGCTGGCGGATGAAGTCACGTTCAGCCGTGAGTTCCGCACTTTCAAGCGCCGAATCTTCGAGTTGGCGCACGAGACGGTCGAGTTGTTTCTGCGTCAGTGTCGCGAGGCTGAATTCGGGCTGATAGGGGTCTCGGGCAAGCTCAGCAGGAGCCTCTGTCGTGGTCTTGTGTGCTTACGAGAGAGCACTTCGAGCGGCGGTGCTTGTTTGCTGAGAGACGTCTACCCCCCCCCCCCCGAAAAATGAGATAGTGGGGAAGCGAAGGTGTGGGTGCGGTCCGAGGGGAGATCGTAGGCTCTGAATACCAAGTGTTAAAAGTGCAAGAGTGAGCGAGCGAGAATTGCCCTATCGAAGCAATCAGTACAATGAGCGAACGCATGAGCAAAGAATATATAGCGAAGCTACAGTAGTAACGGTAATGCGTGCAATTGGGGTGCGCGACGAGCCTGGCGCCGAGGTTTGGGAATTGTCGAGGCGGAGGTCCGAAACGCGGGTTTCCAACCGAGCAGTGAGGTTGGGTCGCGGCGTGAACAATGGCGGGAACAGTAGTCGAGGCGTGTGGTAACGGCGTGTCAAGAATAGCAGGCAGAAAGTTAGAACAGAAAAGAGAGGTTTCACTAGCAAGCAATAAGATACATATAGCAAACCCTAGTTGGGCTGTACTCACTATTGAGTACCCCACTGCAGACTAAACAAATAACACATTCTGACACACCTCCATAGGTAAAGTGGGGTATGATCAGCACAGCAAGCAGTCTCATAAGAAGTTCACAAGCACAAGCAAAACTAGAGGCAGTCACAGAGGGCAAGTGAGGAGGAGGAGGAGGGACTGTGAGAGGAGTGGAGATAGGAGGCGACGGGTGAAGCCGCACACACACGAGCAACAGGAGCGGCGCGCATAGGCTACCGGACACAAGCAACGGTATCCGGACTACTGGAGTCACTGGCTCCGCGGCTAATACGAGCGGCTGGAGCAATGGACCCACAGGCGACTGGCGCAGCAGGCTCGCTGGGCTACCGGAGCAAGGGCGACCTCCGAACTACTGGCGGTGCTGACGTCACGACGGCTACCTCCGTTCAACCCAACTGTCCCACACCCCTTTCACACACCCCTTGCTGCACCCCTAGCTCTACTCCCACGACACCCCCCTAGCGCCACTCCCTCGGCTCCCACACACCCACCCCCTTCAGCGGCAGCTGTAGCAGTGGGAGATGGAGGAGGAGGAGGGGCAGCTGGTCACGCACTCACGCCACCCCCATAACCGCCACCCCAGTGCCCTGTGTGTGCGGTAAGCGAGCTCAGGTGTGCGCGGCGAGCGCAGGCGTGCGGGAAGCGAACTAGGATGTGCGGTAAGCGAGCTCAGTTGTGCGGGAGGCGGGCTCAGGCGTGCGGGAAGCGAACTCAGGTGTGCGGGGGGGGGGGGGGTCGGGGCAGCGCGCGGGTCCACTGGGGTGGCACGCGAGTCCACGTGGGCGGCGCGCGGGTCCCACGGGGCGGCGCGTGGCTCCATGGGGCGGCGCATCGGGTGCATAGGGGGCGGCGCGCGGCTCCATGGGGCTGCGCACCGAGTGCACGAGGGCCGCGCGCGGCTCCACGAGGCGGCGCGCCGAGCAGAAAACCGCCGCGCGCCCCGAGCGCGCAACAGGAAGAAAACGTCGCACGCCGGGGGCGCGCGATAGGCAGAACAACAGCGGAAGCATAGGGTGGGCCCATCCACAGGATCGATCCGCGAGGGTCGACCTGTTCTGATAGCATGTCAAGAATAGCAGGCAGTTAGAACAGAAAAGAGAGGTCTCACTAGCAAGCAATAGGATACATATATCGTAATCCCCCGTATATAGGACCCCCCCCAGTTGTAGACCCCCGGGTCTATAATACGGACCCGGGTACTCTATTCGAGTACATCTGAGTTTTACCCCCTAAATGGCTCATAACATTATAAGACCCCCCCCAAATACTAGAGAAGTGCGGATTTTACAAAAAAAAAATAATGCAATTGAAAATGGTAACGAATTTCGAATTTCCAATGAGTCAACACCCATTTTCAATGTGTTTGACTTTCGAAGGCTTCACTTGTTGCGCGTCAGGATGAGCATGAGGATGAGCTGGCACGCGGGCAAAGTGACGTGCCAAATCTCTGTGCACAGTCAGGGAAACGCCCTCGCGCAATTCTGATTCAGGACGCTGTGAAAGTTCGATTCGATTGAACTTACGAGACTGAAATGTACAACATCGTACATTCTTATAAATGTCAATGTGAACAGACCCGGGTCTTTTAAAAAATATACCATTAAATTATACCCCCCAGCCTTTTTAGGGGTGATTATCAGAATACCCTAGGGTCTTATATACGGGGGATTACGGTAGCAAACCCTAGTTGGGCTGTACTCACTAGACGAATAACACATTCTAACATCCACTGTTGAGAACTGTAGGTGGGAACAATCATGTACGCACTGAGCAGAGACGCGAAGAAAGGAAAATGATTTTTTTTTTCACCTTATCTCATTCTGATCCCTTATAGATCAAATAACCTGCCCAACATCATGAATGGTAGGCAAAGTCCATCACTAAAGCCAGCAGAATGCATGCACTACTACTACAAGTCAAAGCTAATGCCGCATATCCCTTCGCACGCTAATCAAAGCAACTAAGCGGCCTTCTTACAGAAAGCATTTCACAAAGCACAAAAACATCAGAGTTGTCTCAAATAGCACACGTGCGGGTGCTTGCGTGTGTGGTGGTCTGTGTGGGTGTGTGCATGGGTGTGTGTGCAGAAATCTCCAGCTGCACTTCATCCACCCCTCTCAACCCTTCCTCTCCAACCCTCACCCTCTCAACCGGCCCTCTCAGCCTTGACTCTAAGCAGCAACAGGGCGCCACATGGTCTTCTGGAAGCTGATGACCGAGCTACCAGGGCGCCGGAACGCCTTCTTCACCTCCCAGTGCAGCTGCTTCGCAATGGCCTCGATGCGTGGCAGGTGCGGTGCCGTGTCCCGGATGATGGCGTACCCCATGGGCCGCAGTATGCGGTCCATCTCTAGCATCACCGCCTCCACGTCGCACCTGGGAGCGCACGCATGAGAGTGGGCACGGTTGGGCAAGAAGGGAGGATATAGGAAGAGGAAGAACAGGGGGTCATGAGGTTATGATGTACCCCATGGGGCGCAGAATGCGGTCCATCTCTAGCATCACCGCCTCCACGTCTCACCTGAGCATGCGCGCACGGCACGAGGGGAGGAAGGGGGGGGGGCAAGAATGGAGGAGCATAGAGAGAGGGAGGATGTGAACAGGGGCGATGGGGTCATGACGTGGGTGTTGAATGCGGTCCATCTCTAGCATCATCGCCTCCACGTCGCACCTGGGATAGCAGGATGGCAGGATAGGGCACCTGATGGTACCTGATACACAGCCTGCCCATGCGCAACAGACCAGACAGCCCCAGCTGCAGCAGCTGCAACAGCCGCAGCAACTCACCCAGAGCACAATCACGAGCAAACACCCAACCAAGCACAACCACGACATACCCACACACTGGCACGCCCACAGGTCCAACCCAGCGCCCTGCACCACACCACACCGCATTGCACCACACCGCACCTGCTGCCTCGCATCATCTTCCCCAGCAGGCGGTCGGCGTGCAGCAGGTCGTAGGTGCGCGGGTATGTGTTGAAGGCCTCGCACCAGTCGTGGTACGCGCCCAGCAGCCCGCGGTCAAACACAATGGGCAGCGTGTCCAGCCCCTCACTCGCGTTCCCAGCTGGGACCACGTTCATGGTCCACAGAGGCTTGTCAGAAATGCCCGCACCAAATCTGCAAGGGAGAAAGAGCGAAAACGTTGGTCGACGGGGGCGAGAAAGAGAGAGGACGCAGTGGGGAGCAGAGAGGGTTTCAGGAGGAGAGAACGGGGAGGGAGGGAGAGAACGCAGTGGTGGGAACTGCGGGCAAGGGCATGGATGACCTCATGTCTCTCGCCTGTTTGCTCCAGCTCACGTCACCCCCTCCTTGGCAGCACCACCATGACACAGCACATGCGCTAATCCATGGCGGAACACCATTCACAGCCCAGCAGCGCTATCACAGCACCTCGCCCGCAATCGTCCCCAAAAACGCCCCATCCCGCACCAACTCACCCGTCGTAACGCCCACATCTCCACAGACCCCCCCGCACCAATCCCCAGCACCACCCCCTCCTCCTCCCCCCCCCCCTTCAGCACCGCACTCACCCGCCATAATGCGAGTCCATGTCCATGACATTCCGCACGGTGGTCCAGTCCATGTTGAGGTGCCGCGAGTACCGCTTGGTCTCGCGCTCCCAGAACTCCGTGTCCGCGTCAAAGTCCGCGGGGCCCGCCTTGCCAAACAGCCCGCGCGCCACCTCCGCCATGCGCGCGGGCGCCGTCACCAGGCGGTTGCGCCCCTCCGCGGGCCACGTGGTGAGCGCCTTGGCGGCGGGAATGCGGTGCATACACGCCTCCATCGGCTCGTACCTGGGGAGTGGGGGGGGGGAGAAAGGGGGAAAAGAGGGTGAGGTAAGAGGGTGAGGTGAGAGGGGAGAGCGGGTTGGGGTGACGGGAGAATAGGGAAGGGAGGGCGGGTAAGGGAGAGGGGGAAGCGAGAAATTTGCGAAGGGGCAATGTGCGAGGGAGGGGAACGGGAAAGTTTCATCGGAACACCTTTGGCTACACGGTTATGAGGCGGGGCGGTAGGGCGCGCTGATTTAACGCTCAAGCTATCAAGTGACGGCAAAAGTGGCACCCTCATTGCGCTGCACCTCACCACACCCCCCCCGCCGTCGTCCACTCCCACAGCCCTCCCCACCCCGCCGTCGTCCACTCACCAGGCGGCGTCCGCGCGGTTGCTGTCGGGGCACAAGGGCGGGATGGTCTTGCGCGGGCGCGCGTCGTAGCACTCGTTGTCGAGGGGCTTCTGCCACACGGCCACGCCGATGCCGAACTCGCGGTGCACCTTCTTCGCCAGCCGCTTCCAGCACATGTTCTTCGTCAGCTTGCGCATCGCTGCGGGGCGCAACAGAGGGGATGGGCGCACAGAGAGGGATTGGCGGCGTCTCGAGCGCATGTTCTTCGTCACCTTGAGCATCGCTCAGCGGTGGGAGAATCAACCAGGTAAGAGGGGGATCAGAGCGTGCTGCGCGCTGCATTGCCGGGCGGTGCGTGCGATGCGACGAGTCCAACTTATACCAGTCCCCACCGCACCAAACCGCGCGACTCACCGCTCCAGATCTCCTTGTCGTCGGGTTCCTTAGCGGAGCAGTGCAGGCACAACGGCGTGGCGGACCAGACGAAGTACCCCCCGGGGCGAATCAGCCGGTTGAGCTCCAGCAGCAGCTTGCCGCCCTCGATGTGCCACGGCACGCGGCACCGCGCGCAGTGCACCGCGTCGAACGAGTTCGCGGGGTAAGGCTGGCGCTGCGTGCCCATGACGCCCACGAGCGCGCTGACTCCGCGCTCGAGCGCGAACTGGATCTGCGCGTCGTGCTCGTCCTTGGGCGCCACGGACATCACGCGCACGTCGAACGCGTCCAGGTACGCGCCGAAGCTCGCCACGCCGCACCCCATGTCCAGCACCACGCGCACGTGCTTGCCCCACGCCAGCTCCGGACACACCTGCGGGGGGAAGGAGGCGCGACGAGGGGGAAGAGAAAGGGGCGAGGCGGGACGCGTTAGGCGTTGTTTAGAGGCGCATCCCATGTTCGGACATCTGGAAGACACGGGATAGACGAGGGGGGGACGAGGGGTAGACGAGGAATTGTGAAGGCGTTGATTGAGCAGTCTTAAGACTCGCGCGTTCGAGGCGCTGGCTTCCGTTTCTTCGCACGCTCCGACTTAAACGTTTGTCTCAACGTCTTTTCATGTAACCACCCATCCCCACCCATTCATCCTCTCTCGCCCTCCCCTGCCGTCCCCCCCCACCCCATGAATAACCCCCTCTTCCACCCTCCCGCCACCCTCCGCGCGCGCGCGCGGCCCCACCCCACCCCGCCCGGGCGCACTCACGTCGTGCACCCATTCGATGTAGCGCGTGGCGCCGTACTTGAACTGCGTGCCGCCGCCCGGGAAGAGGAACTTGTCGCCGTCCGCCTTCACCCAGTTCTGATCCGCCTTGTAATTCGCTAGCGACGGCTTCGGCACGTTGCTGTACCAGATCTGATCGCACCGGCAGAAAGAGGGGCGCGGGATGAGCGGAGGGGAGGATGAGGGAAATTAGGTGAGGGAGAGAAACGAGTGAGCGAGGAGGTTAAGAAAGAGTCAGGGCTTTAGGCAGTTGGTGCGTCAGGATTGATCGGACCGGGAGGGAGAGAGAGGGGGGACGGTGGGAAGTAGCGGGGGATGCGGGAACAACGGGGATGCGGGGAGGTGAAGGAGAGAAAGGTAAGAACTGGGTGAAGGTAGGACACGGCACGAGCTATTCAACTCTCGCCGCTCGCCGTTCATCGCGCACGGCTCACCTGGTCGCGGCTCTCGGGCCACGTGATGTGCGGCTTGTACCCGTCGGGCAGCGGCAGCACGCAGCGCGGCACCTCGTCCACGGCGGGGCAGTGCCGCTCGCGGTGCTCGTAGTGGCTCGTGCTCTTGAGCTGCCGCAGCGCCTTCTCGTTGTCCAGGCACGGGATGTAGTCGTCGCTCTGCTCCACGCACAGCGGATACGGCGCCACCGATGTCGGTCGCGACGCGGAAGCTTCCTCCCCCTCCTCTTGCGCCTTCTCCGCCTTCTCCGCCTTCTCTTCCTCCTCCTCCTTGCTCGCTGCGCCTGCCTCGGAAGTCTCGCCCGTCGCGTCGCTGTTCTCGGCGGTGCTGCTTTCCTGCAGTACACGCCGGGGATGGCGGGGATGCGGGGGATGCGGGGTATGAGAGTGTGCGCGTTCACCACGCGTTACGGGTTACATGCGGGCTCTTCGTCAAGATCCACTTTGCTTTAGCTTCTTCCTTATGGATTCTAACTGAAAGTGCAGCACAAAGCGTAAAGCCTCTTCAGCCTGGCTTGCAGCGCATAGCCTCGGACACGCAGCGCAGAGCACACAGCACAGCGCGCGGAGCTTATAGCACACAGCGCAGAACGCACCGCACAGAGAACACAGCGCAGCGCGCTGGAACTTGGATCACGCACCGCACAGAGAGCACAGCACAGCGCAGAGCGTACCTGGGTATCGGGCTCGGTCTCCGCGTGCGCCTGCTCCACCTTCGACTCCGCCGCCTGGCTCGGCAGCGGCTCCGCCTGCGCGCAACACGGGCCCGCAGAGACGTTGTTGAGAAGCCGGCGCTCGACAGGCGTCGGAGAAGGCGAGAAGACGGCTCAACTTCTCGCGCACCAGATTGCGACAAGGCCATTGGCTGTTATACCGAGATTCATCATAGATTATTGGTGGCGCGTCAGTCTCACCTTGCTGTCGTCAGCAGGACCCTCCTTGCGGCTGTTCTTGCGCTCCACGTCAGCATCGCCGTCTGCAGCGTCGGTACCGCCCAGCTCCTTAATCCGCTCCTCCACTTGCTGCAGTTCCGCCGCCACCTTCGCCTGTTCGCGCGCCTCCTGCGCCTTCTCGCCCTCGTACTGCGCCGCCTGCCTCTCCGCGGACTCTTCCCGCCGCTCCTCGACTACCACCGCCGTGTAAACCGCGTCTTCCGCAATGCGCTGCAATCCGTTGGCGGGACTCTTTGCCTGGCGAGGAGCAGGTGATCGATGCGGGCAGTGACGTGGAGGGAGTGACGTGGCGGGAATGCACGTATGAGGCGGGGTTCCCGGTGGGGGAACGGAAGGGGAAAGGGAGGGTAAACGCTGAAGATAAAGGTGTGAGAGAACACGGATCGAAAACATACACCATACGATGCGGTAAAAGGCAGGTCACGTGAATTTTACCGAGCTCCAATCAACCACGACGCTAGGTTGACGTGGATTGGCTGCGCGAGCAAGGATCATTGCAAGAAAAACAGGAGATTCGAAAATCTGAAGAAGGCGTACCGGCGAAGTGAACAGCCACATGGAGACGAGGAAGACGAGGACGAGCGCGAGGCTCGTGGCCAACGTCGAATTTCCTCCAGGCGAGGTGTAGGGTGACTTGCCCTTCCATGAGTTGGTGGCGCCTCGAAAGGCCTTCACTAGCGCCTGCAACCCCATCCTGCGAACCAAGGAGATCCCAGACCTGAGGTCTCAAACGAAACCTGATGTGAATCCCCCCAAAAGTAAGAAGAGCAACCGTGGGCGTCGTTGCAACTGCAACAGGAACAACGCTATTGAAGCTAAGGCTGGATCAGAACACGAAGTTGATTTCTCAAGTATTTTTGCTGCTTTGGAGGTCACACTGCTGTCGGGAGGCCGACTCGGGGAAGTGTGCCTCATGACCGATGCGCGAGGTGCGGGGAGGAATGAAACCTGTGGTGGGAGCTCTGACTGGACTATGGTATGGCATGGAGGGAGGTACGGTTTGAAAGCGAAGCCATCGGCGACTTCCGAATCAGATTTCCAGGCCAAACCGGACCAGGTCAGTGGGCGTAGCCAGGGCGCGGGAACAAGCTTCGGTGTGACAAAAGAAGAACGAGGCTACACATGAAAGCTTCCGAGCCTGGGCTCAAGATGGCTAGCCTGTGCAACAAGCCGCAAATGTCAAATCAACATCCCAAGTCTAGCGCGGCTCGCTCAGATCTGACCACAGCAGACAGCTTCGGGCTTGGTTCTGGTGGGAAACATACGCTGGACATGGCTCCAAAAACTGTATGGTATGGTACCCCAAATTCCCGCGTGAGATTGTCAGACCAAGTAGGCACGTCATTGGGGACAAACAAGCCGCGACTTTGATTTAGACTTGGCTTGTGGGTGAGAGAAACTCCCCGTTCATACAAAAACCCGTTTGGAATGGTTGATGCTTTGCCAACAGGTCTGTACAGTTCTGTAGTAGAAAAAGGAGATGACTCTACACATCGGTACAAAGCTCACATACAAGTTGGAACGTTTATGTGAGTCTACTCCATTCAAAGCTTGCCTTCACATTATGGTTTCATGTTCTCATGCCACGGAATATGTGCTAAACACTCTCCTACTGAAATACTCTTGTTTCAAATGCCGAGGGCGTTGCCTTGCTTCTTATTCAATTATTGCAAACGCATTGAAAGGCATACCCAAACAGATCAAAATCCCTTCTTTCTGCATGCCAGAAGTGTTCATTCTTCACAAGGTGAACCCAGCTCTGTCCTCCCAAGTGTAATACACCAGCGACATTCACTATCATCCTCCCACCAGCACTCCTACACTCGGTCTCGTGATCCTATAACAGCACTCAGCTCCGTGACTACACATGCGAGAAAGACCAAACCCAACCTTCAGACTGCCACTGCTGTTGCTGTTGCTGTTGCTGTTGCTGCTGCTCCTGCTGCTGCTGCTGCTGCTGCTGCTGCTGCTGCTGCTGCTGCTGCTGCTGCTGCTGCTGCTGCTGCTGCTGCTGCTGCTGCTGCTGCTGCTGCTGCTGCTGCTGCTGCTGTTGCACATCATATGGCTCACAGCACATCCCTCACCAGCATATTCCTCCCTCTCTTCCCCACCTCTGTCGCCTACATCTGTCACCTGGTGGGCTCTGCACTTCGCTCTCAATCTCTCGCATCCTTTTCCTGGATCTGAAACCCAGTAACGCCTCTGCCGCAGTCTTCCTACACTCGGCAGCTTCATGCTGAGCCATATCCTCACCTGCACTGTCCTCCCATCCCTCGTCGTCACTACCAGCTGTGCTGAATTCCTTGAGTCGATCAGCCTGGTTCTGTGCATCATCGCCCTTCCCTCGTGCCGCCTTCCCTCTCAGCCGCTGCTGGAAACGCTCCTGGTAAGTCGCTGCTGCCCTATTAACCATCATCACCTCCACCACACCATCCTCACCAGCATCAGCATCCTCTTGCTCCTCCTCTTGCCCCTCACACTCCTCGTCCTCGTCAGAATCATCGTCTGAAAGTACGATCACTTCTATCACCACCACCTCCTCCTCCTCCTTCTCCTCCTCCTCTTCCTCCTCCTCCTCCTTTTCCTCCTCCTCCACCTCTTCCTTCTCCTCCTCCTCGTCCTCCTCCACCCTCTTACCCACCATTCCACCCACATGCTCATCCTTGTCCTCCTCCCGCTCACAAACGCCTCCAGCTTCACCCTTCATCCTGAACGCACGACATGCCCTCCTGAATCTCGCCCTCCCATGCACGTCCCCCATGCCCGTTTCGCCTGCACACCTCACCTCCTGAGCACACCACTTGTCACTACTGCCTCTTCCCGCCCAAGCCCCCAGCCCCTGTGTCAGCGCCAGTGGCAGCTGAAAGTTCTTAGGCGAGCCGCACAGGTGGTTGGCTGCAAGAAGCAGAGGGTCATCCAGCGTACAATCCAGGGCGTGAATGGCCCGCCTCTCTCTCCCTCTCCCACTCCCGCTCTCTCTCTCACTCCCGCCAAGACTGTCAGCGTTGCTGCCTTCACTGTCTGCTGCAGGAGCAGCAGCAGCAGCGGCGGCGGCAGCAGCAGCAGTCCCAGACCCGCACAGATCGTCCATCTTCGGCTGCTGCGAACCATCTCTTGCAACCTCGTCGGCGAATCTTCCCCTCGCCAACACAGCTGCACGCATTTCTTCCGCGCCTTCTCCACCACCTGCCACTGGCACCGCTGCTCCCCCTCTCTGCCCACACGCAATCCTCGTTACAGGCACCTCCACCACCTCATCATCAGCTTCCCACCTTTCGCCTCCCACCGCGCCTGCCTTTGGCTCACTGCGAATCTCCCTCCCCACGCGCATGCTCGCTGCCTTCCTCCCCTCCTGTGCGTGAGCAAGTGCCACCTGGCACTTCGCCAAGAGCGGCTGTTGTGAAGGGGGCCCCCGGATCACACGCACACTCTTGCCTCCCGCATGCTTCTTGCGGTGTGGCTGACCTTCCGCATTCCCACGCAACCTCTCCGCTCCACACCCCTCTTCAGGGTATGGCTTCACTGCGGTGTGCCTGGATCCCCCAACAACGCGCCCGCCTTCAACCGCATGCCTCCGCTTTCTAGACATCTGAACCGCCGCTCCTTCCCTTTCCTCCACCCTCTCTTTCCCTTCCTCCTCCTCCTCCGCTTCCCCTGCCTCTGCGTCTTCCGGTATACCTCTCCGCCTTTCCTCACTCCTCCCCACCCTCCTCTCCCCTCTCTTCAACGGAATTCTCCCCTCTCTCTCAGTCAGCATCTCTCCCCCATTGCCAACCCGCATCGCCTTCCTTCTTAACCCCCGCTGCCTCTTGCGCCACGAACTTTCCACACTCAAAGTATGCTCATCCTCCACTCCGCCCCTTTCCTCCGCAACCCAGACAGCTCCCAACTCGCGCCACACCACCTCCCCGGCTTGCCGCTCCGCCGCTCCCCCTTCTTCCTCCCCCTCGTGACCTGCCCAGCCCCCTCCGCCTCCCAAATCCAGCGCCGCCCGCGCATCACGAAGCGCCGTTGTACCGTAAGCATCTTGCGCATCTGTTTCCCGCTCATGCGCCCCGCCCGCCTCTTCCGCGAGCGAAAGCTGCGCAGCGGGAACACAAGGCGCGCGGAGGACAGGCGGAGGGAAAGAGGGCGACGCGGAAGGAGCGATGACCGTGCTGTTGCTGCTACTGCTGCTCCTGCTACCATCACCACCACGTACTGCCTCATTGCCTGACGCTACCAAAGCGTTCCATGCGCTCGTAGGGTTTAGTGCGTTCCCATCCGTCGCATCCGTCGCATCCGTCGCATCCATCGCATCCACCGCATCTGCCGAACCCGTCGCAGCTGTCGCAGCTGTCGCACCTGCCGCCGTCAGAGTAGAGGATTGCGACGACGAAGAGTGGGCTTTCACCGCCTTCGCGCACTCGCACTCCATCGCACACTCGTCGCCCGGCGGGCACACCGCTTCGCAAACACTCGCGCAGCCTGCTGCTTCTTCTCGCAAATCAAGCGCGGCGCTCACAGCAACCCTCCCATCCCGTAACGCGCTGTTCTCGTCCAAAGCGCAAACCGGACCGCCCGCCTCTTCAGATGCGACTCGCGCCTTATCCCGCGATGCTTGGCTCGGCTCGAAACCAACGGGGGTTTCGTCTAGCGATGGCGGTTTCTTCTTCGCATGGCTGTCGGGTCTGGCTGGTGCCGCATCCGCTCTCTCCTCGCTCCCGCCAGGCGGAATTCCGCGATCGCCGTGCGGAAGGAGCACTTCCCCCCACTCGCGCGGAACGCTGGCGCTTCCATGATCGCGAGCGGAAATCTCCGCCGTGGTCGCCGCGTCCCCCCACCTCCAGTGGCACAGACCCGCGCTCACCCAATCTCCGCAAGAAAAGGCCGCCCGCTGCCGTTGTCTACGCGCACGAACGTCGAACGACTGGGATACGGCGATCAGGTGGTGAGACTCGCACGGGGACTGAGCACGAGAAACTTCCGCGGTGGTAGGGTTTTTGTGAAGGAATGCTTTCTGGCTAAATTCTGAACACGCGGGAGGGGTGCTGGTCGAAGCCCAGATGAAAACGTCGACAACTGAAGACTGATCTTTAGTTGTCATTGCTCCCAGTCATCACCGCGACACGGATCGGGCCTACGATCGAGCCTCCGGAAAACAGAGAAAAGGCGTGAAATCAACAGCTCGAATTAGAAGCTGGGAGAGTCTTGTTAGGGTGCAGGCATAAGTGTCTCTAGTGCTGGAAGAACAAAAATGCTGGAAATTCAGTTGTGTTGTCTGAGACGAAAGGGCTTTTTGTACAGCATTCTGCCATAAGTCGTGAGGCGGGAAAGAATGCGGGAAGATGTGGAAAAGAGCCGAGCTACAGTGCAAAATGCAAAACCGTGGTGGGAGGGACCGACCACTCACAACGTCCCTATCTTGACTCTCCCTATCTTGCTCGACTCGACTCGGCCCACCCAGCCTTGGTGTTGAGACTTTCGTGTTGAGAAAATTTCAAGGGCAACCGAACCGCATACAGCCACAACAACCATTGAACGGTACACCTGATGCGCGTTATAGTCCCCCGTCATTCCCTTGTTCTCTGGGCTTATAATCGATCTGCGCTTTTCGCATGGTTCGTCAACATCGCCTGGGCCGTCGGGTGCTTTTAAAAAGCACAGGCGGTAACATGTTTGTTTTTTCCATGTATAGTGTTGGGCGGCGTCCTTTGTTGCGAGCTAATGCACTGGGTTACCACTTTTATCGAGACCAGACTATCACATGCAATTACAATTCACCTCTCCCTTCATCACAAACATCAATGAACGAATGGGATAGCCACAACTGTCTCTGCCGCGACAAACAACCCCCCCCCCCCCCTTCCCCGGCCCTGCTATGTAATGCAGTCACCGTTTACCACATGTGTGCATGAGTCGTGCACACTTGTGCAAATGCTGAAATTTGCACAATGCAGAGTGAATTTCACAGCCTCATCCACTCTGCCGCAGCGAGATATCCGCTCATCACGGCGGGAGCGCCAGCGTCTATAAGCTCCTGCCGGCGAGCAGATTGGGCAACCCAGTCAGGGGTCGGCACCGTCATCCATGCCGGCAGAAGGCGACCGCGGCGACGTGGAGTCTCTGCCGGCGGGGTGTCCTCGTGTGTCGGCGTTGGCGGCGGAGTAGCGTTAAGGTTAAGTGCCGGGCTTGCGCGCTCCATCCGCGCGATGATCATGGGGTTGCGGATGTCAAACAGCGCGCACAAATCCCTCGGCGTGATGCACGTCGCACGCGCGTACCCAATGAGCATCTCGCAGGCGGCGCGTGCAGTGCGACGAGCTTCGCGCGTCGCAGGGTTGTTATCGTCGTACACCGCTTGCATCGCCGCCGGCGCCTCCCACATATGCGCCGTCTGCGCCGACGCCGGCTCCCGCGCCAGGGGGTCCTCGCCCGGCTCGGCGCACGTCGGCTGGTTGTCATCAATTCCGACGAACTCTGCCGCAGGTAGCGCGGACGGCCCGAGGCCGAGACGATCGATTAAGACGCCTACGTCGTTCAACTCCTCGTCCAGGCCAATGTCACCCCCAGCCTGGACTTGTGGGTCGCCGCTCTGTTCCACGTGCGGGAGTTCCATCGCCCACGCCCGGGTAGGCACTCGGTGCGCCACCAGCAGCGCTGGATAGTGACGTGCGGGATATTCATCCACGCGTCATGGAGCCATTCCAGCACGCGACGGAGGTTCGGCTTGAACCTTGCCGCCGCGGAAGTCGCGCCGTCAGCAGTCCACATGCCGGTGAAGGCGCGGAGCCAGTGCTGGCGGTACCGCGCCTTCGTCATGGCGATCATCCCCTGGTCGAGTGGCTGCGTGAAGCAGGTGGTGTTCGGCGGCAGGTAGACGAGGCGCACGTTACTGAGCTTTCGCGTGCGGAACCCGAAGAGGTCCTCGGTTTCTGCGCCCTCGGTTGTCAGGGTGTGACTGCTCGCGTTGTCGAGCAGCACGACGACTTGGCGGCCCTCTGCGTACATGGCGGTGTCCAGCTGCTCAAAAAAGTGCGTGAAGAGCTGCAACACAAAGGGGTGTAGGCGAAGTTGGGGTAGGTTAGGAGGCTTTGTCATGATCAAAAACATAGCCGACATCGGGTACATGTAATAACGAGGCTTTTAAAAAGCACAGGCTGTAACATGTTTGTTTTTCAAATTTTTTTTATGGGGCTTTATCATGATCACAAACATAGGCAACATCGGGTACGATAATAACGAGGCTTTTAGAAATTGTAAAAACAAACTCACGGCTTTGGTCATCCACCCCTTAGCGGTGTTGCGCCAGTAGCAATACTCCTCGGGGTCGAAGTCCGGCCTGAAATCATGTGGCCGCTTAGCCTTGGAGATGACAAGCGGACGGAATGCGTGCGTCCCGTCCGCATTAACCAAGAAGCCGACGGTAAGGCGGTCCTTCGGAACCTTCCGCCCTGCCGACCTGCCCGTGCCGTACGTTTTGCGAGGAAGCACGCTGATGTACAGCGCAGTCTCGTCGAAATTGAAAGTATCACGCGGGCGCACGCCGAGATGCATGAGAAGCTGAGGAAGCTTCTCCTTAGTGGTGCGCACTGCGTTCAGATCCTGGTCGGCCGCCTCGCCGACCGCGCTCATGCACCGTACTCCCTGGCGGCGCAGCGCACGGCGGACCCAGCCGATGGAGCAACGGAAAGTCGGCGGAGCGCTGTTCGCACGCGCCATCGTCGCAACATGGTCGCGAATAGTGGCGAGGGTGAGAGGGACGCCAGCGGGGCCTGCATTTGAAATCCAGCGTGCCATCGAGCGCTCCAGTTCGGGGTATGCCCCGCCGCGGACGCGAATGGCGTCCACGGCGTCATCAGGAACGTGCCATCGGTCGGCGCCTTTGAGAACGCGACCAATGGTCGAACGGTCGGGCCTCACACCAAAACGCGTGAAACACCAACGTGCGAGGTCCACGTGGCGCAGCAGAGGGTTTGCCTGTTGATGGGCACAAATGGCCCGCTTGATATGCAGCGCGAGCTGAGACCTATGGTAGAGACGAGGCATCTGGCGAGATTGTTAAGATAACTAAACATGAATTGCAGTGCTGGTTGTCGAGTGGATTTATGCTGGTGCAATGGCGCTAGGATTAGTCACTATGTCTCGAGAGTGTGCGAGGTTTCGCACTTGCTGCGAGATGCACATGCATCTCTCGCAGTTTCTATAGATTATGAGACTGGGTAACCACATCCACGAATAGTGACGTGTGTTGTTTGCGGACTGTGAGGCTCACAAGGGGCATGTACCGAGCATTGGCAATGTACACGTCGGAGTTAACACACAAACACGAACTGTTAGGCGCACCTGGTTGATGCACAGGTGGCATGACGTAACATCAGTTTTGGGTGGCGACGTTTCACGAATTTTGTCCTTACATTTCGTAGCCTCTGTTTCTGACTTAAAAACAGGGACGGGGCCAACCGGCTGACGTTTGTCTTTTGCTGTGTTGCTCAGTTTGGGAGTATTCACCTGGTAGATGCAAGTGGTCTCAGGTGCTTATACCATAGGTGCAACACCAGGGCAAAAAACCCACGGGTGTAAGGTTTCCGAAATGTGCAGGGCTTTTTCGCGTGCAGGGGGTGGGCATCATGTGTATTAAAAATGGCACTGTTGAGGCTAGTGGCTCACACCAGTTCAATCAAATTTACGTGGCAGACTCTGGTTAGTGAGTGAGCTGAAGGTTCTGCTCTGCCAGTCTTGCTTCGAACCGTACGAGGGATAAGGCGGGTGGGAGGATTCGAGGTTCAAGCTCCTCAGGTCCTGCAGTGGATGCCAACAACAGAACCACCAACCTCTTTCTTTGGGGAAATTATGCGACAGGTGAGGAAACGAGACATCGCAAACAGTCACTATATAGATGTTTTCACGTTTTTGGCACGTGTTTAGTCACTAAAATCTTTCAAATATTCACGCAAACGGTCCAAGACAAAACTGATGGCCAATATAATGGCTGACATGTGAAAGTAAAACGAGGAATGATTGCATTGAACAGCATGAGGAGTACAAGTAGGAAACCCTAAAGTGTTGTACCCTATATGAACTACCTCACTACAGCCTACACAGACTATAGCATATCAGTTTGACACACCCCCATAGGCAAAGTGGGGGAGAACAAGAGGTCACAAGACCAGTCAAGAGAAACAAAGCAAGCTCAGGGTGGATCACGAAGTCACCACGCATTCTGGGCACAAACAAATAGTCACAGGGCCAGTTCACATGCAGAGTCATATAAAGGCAAACAAACAATACAGTGATCACAACCTAGCAAGAGTAAGCATGCAGATATATGTATGAAGATCATAGTACAAGCATAGTCAAGAGGTAAGCAAATGATGTCAAAGTTCTTAGCGAGGCTTGGGAGCCATAGCTAGTGAGGTAGGAAGTTGAGTTCGAGTTGGAGGAGAAATGTCGAGAGAAAAGAGGGTTTCACTATAGGTTCAAGGGTACAAATATGAGAGAACAAGCAAGAAAGGTGCACCACCAAATAGGAAAACGCTATAACTACAGTAACCAATCCTACAGGCAGTTACATATAGAAAATATTAAATTATATTTTTCCGACACGCCCCCATAACTGGCTGTAGGAGATGAGTATGCAGTTAGTGCCCTCTGAAGGGGTACATCACGATTGCGCAGGAGGAGAAAAGTGTTTCAATAATACCACTCCTCTGGCTCCCCCACACCCTCACACCCTCCCATCCTCCCCCTCCCCCTCCCCTTCCCCCTCCCCCGCACACTGCTGCAGGAGCAGCAGAGGGGGGAAGAGAGGAGAGGTGAAGGGACGGCTGCTGGGTGGTCTCACACCCGCCACCCCAGTGCCACTCCCCGGGCTCCTCCACACCCTCACACCCTCCCCCCCAGCGGCAGCTGCAGCAGCGGGAACAAAAGGAGGAGGAGAGGGGGGGGGGGGGGGGGGGGCGACGCACGGCCTCCCCGCGCGCCAAAGCAGGCGGCAGAGGGGGCGACGCCTGCCCCCCCCTTCCAGGTCGCCCCTCCCGGCACCACGCGGCCCCCTCAGGAGCCGGGACGGGTGACGGGAAAAGGGGGGGGGGGGGGGGGCGGTGCACGTGCCCCCGGTGTGCCGCGGCTGGCAACGGGGCATGGCCGGGGCGGGGTCGGGGCCGCAAGTGGGCGGGGCCGCAGGTGGCATCGGGGCCGAAGTGGGCGACGGGGCCGCAGGTGGCGACGGGGCCGCAGGTGGCGGGGCCGCAGGTGACGACGGGGCTGGGGCCGCAAGGAGGCGACGGGGCCGGGGCCGCAGTTAGGTGACAAGGCCGGGGCCGCAGGTGGGCGACTGGGCCGGGGCCGTAGTGAGGCGACGGGGCCGTAGGTAGGGGACGGGGCCGCAGGTAGGCAACAGGGCCGGGGCCGCAGGTAGGCGACGGGGCCGGGGCCGAAGGAAGGCGACGGGGCTGGGGCCGCAGTTAGGCGACGGGGCCGTAGGGCCGCAGGTAGGGGACGGGGCCGAGGCCGTAGGTAGGCGACGGGGCCGGGGCCGCAGGAAGGCGACGGGGCCTGGGCCGCAGGTAGGCGACGGGGCCGTAGGGCCGCAGGTAGGCGACGGGGCCGTAGGGCCGCAGGTAGGCGACGGGGCCGGGGCCGCAGGAAGGCGACGAGGCCGGGGCCGCAGGTAGGCGACGGGGCCGGGGCCGCAGGAAGGCGACGGGGCCGGGGCCGCAGGTAGGCGACGGGGCCGTAGGGCCGCAGGTAGGCGACAGGGCCGTAGGGCCGCAGGTAGGCGACGGGGCCGGGGCCGCAGGAAGGCGACGAGGCCGGGGCCGCAGGTAGGCGACGGGGCCGTAGGGCCGCAGGTAGGCGACGGGGCCGTAGGGCCGCAGGTAGGCGACGGGGCCGTAGGGCCGCAGGTAGGCGACGGGGCCGCTGAAAGGGCGGCGACCGGACCGCGAAAAGTAGGGCAAGGGGCACGTCACGGGGCGTGCCGAACACAGATTAGCAGCGGAAGCTGTAGGGTGGGCCCACAGGTCAGGACCTTGGTAGCTCTGATAGCATGTCAAAGTTCTTAGCGAGGCTTGGGAGCCATAGCTAGTGAGGTAGGAAGTTGAGTTCGAGTTGGAGGAGAAATGTCGAGAGAAAAGAGGGTTTCACTATAGGTTCCAGGGTACAAATATGAGAGAACAAGCAAGAAAGGTGCACCACCAAATAGGAAAACGCTATAACTACAGTAACCAATCCTACAGGCAGTTACATATAGAAAATATTAAATTATATTTTCCGACAAGTGAGGCCCAGTGGGCATAAGGCCTAGAACAGTACAGAAACGCTGATGATCACAAGGCTGGAGTGCCTTGGTGAAGACATCAGCAATGTTGGCCCGAGTGGCCAGTAACGCATAGCGATGTGCTTCGTTCTGTGCTCCAGTCTGTGCTCCTGACACAAGCAATCATGGCCTTGCTGTCGATGTACAGCACTGGAGGAGAACAAGGCGGCTCTCCCAGGTCTGTCAGCAGGTAGGTGAGCTAGCGTAACTCCTGTGCAGCCATGGCCCCTGCGTAGATCTCAGCCTCACAACTGGAGCTGAGAACAGAAGATGAGCGGGTAGACCGCCATGAAACAAAGCCGGAGCCAAGGCTGAAAGTGTAACCCTGTGACGACCGCTGCGTAGTCGTCAGCCCAGGAAGCGTCTGCGTGACCAGTGAGGACAACTCGAGCCCGTCCTCCAAGCACGAGTCCCACGCCCGACGTACTGCACAAGTAGCGCAACACCCTCTTAGCGGCATCCATGTGCTCCTTCCGGTGTCTCCTAGGAACAACATAGCGTGCCAGGATGCTAAGAAGGTATGCCAGGTCAGGTCGAGTGCAGGTCATCAGGTACATGTGGCAGCCCACAAGCTCTGGATATGGGCCACTCGGCTCTACGGACTCATCCGAAGGCAGAGCTGAGAGCGAATGGCGAGTAGGCAGAGGAGTGGGCAGAGGCGAGGAGTACGTGAAGCCGAAGCGCTGAAGGACCTGCTGCACCATATGTGACTGAGACAAAGTAATGGTGCGCTGTGCTCTGTCCCGGGTGATCCGCAAGCCAAGATAGCTGCGCAGCTCACCCAGGTCTGTGCAGGTGTGTCTCTTCTGCAGCTCCGACTTCACGTGGGGAGTCCCTCAGTGTCAGAAGTAGCAAAAACCAAGTCGTCGATGTACACAAGGACGTAGGACGGCGGCAGAGAGGTGTCGGTGCGTAGAAACAGCGACGGGTCGGCAGCGGAAGGAGCAAAGCCAAGAGCCGCAAGGGTCGTCCTCAGTGTGTCGTGCCACTCACGGGGCGCCTGGCGGAGACCGTAGACTTGCCGCCGGAGGCGGCGCAGCCAGATCTCCTCGTGCAGGCTGCCCTGTAGGAAAGCAGTGCTGAAGTCAAGAGAGTGCAGCTCGTAGTCACGCTGAGCAGCTACGTGCAGCAGAACCTGAAGAGTAGTCCTCTTCGGGGTGGGGGAGAATTTATGGAAGAAGTCAACTCCTCTCGCTGATTGAAGCCTCGTGCAACGTAACGCGCCTTGAAGACAGGCGGAGAACCCGGCGGCCGCTTCACCCTGAAAATCCACATGCCACTGACGATTTTCGCCCCACGCGGGGGAACGTCGTCGACGTAGGTGCCAGTGGAATTTCAGGAAGCCATCTGTGCGTCCACGGCTGTCTGCCACTGAGAGGAGTAGGGACCTTCTATCGCCTCAGTCTAAGAGCGCGGGGTCTGGATGTTTGGTGCATCCGGGTCTCCCTTAGGGGCAATCAGCATGGACACGAGATGAGGTAAAGCAGCGGCAAAGCACTCAAACTCCTCTTGCCTGTCCTCAAGGACGTCCGTGCCAAGAGCACACTCACCCCTGACGGACAGAGGACAAACAAACCCAAACTCAGCAACAAGACTAGCGGCGTAGTCTAGATGACAGGCGGCAGCCAATTCAACGAGCTCAGCAACTAGGGCAGACGCAACAGTGGACTCAAACAAAGGGTCAGTGACAACAGTGGCCAGGAGACGCGTGACAGTAGGACTAGCAGCA